CTCTCTCTCTCTCTCTCTCTCTCTCTCTCTCTCTCTCTCTCTCTCTCTCTCTATCTCTCTCCCCCCCCACCCACCCCAGGTCCATTGCCCCCCCCTTGGCCTCCCTAAAAAAAAATAAAAAGTTTATGGATGGTTGAGAGGAGTCTACACAGAGGTCCGGCCGGTAGTCTGGATTGGCCTGGTGTCCAGGGCCGGCGGAGCCATGTTTATTTCTTTGAGTCGTCGAACTTTCCTTACAATGGTTGCATGGTTGCTCGTGTGTTTGTTTTGCTCGTTGTATTCTCGTTTTAACAACTTTCAACAGGATTGTTCATACTTCTTTGAATCGCCCACCCGCAAGTCTTCTTCCTCGGCCTGTGCAGAAGACGATCCTCGAGCAGGCTATGGCCGCTGGAAGACTTCAAGTCTCAGAATGGATCATGGATCCCCGGAACCCATTGGGGCGGATGCGGTTGGCGCACATGAGGAGAATTCTGGAGAGAGGAGACAGCTTACAGCTACAGTTTCCGCAGGAGGATCTCGGCTTCTGGTTTGTCGTCCAATTCCTTAAACGTCAAACTGCTCTGATTGGAGCATTTCAGTAAGAGTCGAAGTACACTCATAGCCACGCAGATACACAGCCACGCATGGCCACACATAGCCATGTGCTGTGATGCTACTCCATTCATGATCCAAAATTCAGGTCCGAGAGAAATTGAGACAATGCCATCAATCACAAGTTCACAACTCAAAAAACAAGTGAAAGAGAGAAAAGAGAGCATACAATGAGGAGGAATAAAGAAGAAAGACAAAGAAGAACGACAAAGAAGAACGACAAAGAAGAAGAAGAAGAAGAAGAAGAAGAAGAAGAAGTAGAAGAAAAGGAATGGGGAATTGAAGCTGACTGTCTTAACTGAAATGGGGAACGAGCCTATCTGCAACAGGACACAAAAGCTGGCTGGTTTACCAACTAAACTAGGAATTGAAGTATCTGATGTTAAAAAACCGTAGTTGCCATACTCAAACCATGGTTCTTTTTTCCTTCTTTCTCTCTTTTGTTTTTGGCCTGTTAAAACTATTCTTGATCTATCAGCTGTCCTTTCTTGTTTGTCTTTTATCATTTTCTCTGTTCTCTGCGCATACCGTGTATCTGTTGACTCTCTCCTTTGATGCTGTCTCGCACAGTAGGAGGTTATACTGAACTGCTTCCATCAGTGGGCTGGGTATGGTGAGCTGCTTTCTGACCGCCTCATCACGCCTCACCATCCAACTGCTTCCTTATCCACTCACCACTCCCTTCCCTCCCTCCCTCCCTCCCTGTGCATCTTCTTCTGTGTCCACTCTGTATTCTTCTATCCTTGCACCATCCGTCCACCCAACCCATCCATCCATCTGTCCATCTGTCCATCCGTCCATCCATCCCTTTGCACCTGTCCCGCCAGCCATTCCCCGGTCTATCTCTCCACCCTCGATCCCTCTGTCTGTCCCCCCCTCTTGTCTGTCCCTCTCTGTCCATCACTCCATGCCTCCATCGCTTGTCTGTCCCTTCGTCCACCCCTTCGTCCTTCCTCCATCCCTCCTCCATCCCTCCTCCATCCATCCCTCCGCCCACCCCTCCTCCCCTTTCTCCATCCCTCTCTCCATCCCTCAGTCCTTCCCTCCATCTGTCCCTCTGTCCATCCCTCCATCTGTCCTTCTGTCCATCCCTCCATTCCTCTCTCATCTCTTCCACCTCTCCATCCATCCCTTCATCCGGACCTTCTTCCCTCGGTCCAGGCCTCATTCTGTCCCTCTGTCCACCTCTCCCCCCCACGACTCCGTACACCCCTCTCCTCTTTCGCTCCTCTGTTCCTCCATCGATCCCTCCATTCAGCCACACGTGTTACCATCGAAGCAATCTGTGTGCTCGCGTTTTTTCCGTCCAGCCACCCTCCCATGTGATCATCAAAGGAATCCATTCTCTCTCTCTCTCTCTCTCTCTCTCTCTCTCTCTCTCTCTCTCTCTCTCTCTCTCTCTCTCTCT